GGGATGGATTTTGGACCCCTGCCTTAAGCCGCAGCACTTTGAAAGCAGGAATTGATCCTCGGTAGTAAGCTTTCTTCAACTCTCATATTCCTCATGAACTGTATTATCAAAACCAGGAAATGTCTCAGATTTCCTACGCCTGCTGCCTTTACTGCCACTGACACGTGCTGAGCCTTTGGTAATTCTGATAAAGAAGAACCTTGGCTACCATGGGATACCATGACCAGGCAGTGGGCTTGCACCAAAGCCACAGGTTACTCTTGGAATGAGTAGCAGTTCTGTGATTTATTTTTATGACTAAAACACTAAAATAAGGAATTACATGTTCTTTGTCCAGAGTCAAGTGGGAAATATGTCCTTGATTTCTGCAATGGTCTCAACTAGTAAGGCCCCCCACCCCACCCCCCAGTCTAGCAATTTGTTTTGCCTGGAAATGATATTAACAAAAGCTTAGTTGACATCTAGTCACTCACATTAATTCAAACAGCTTTAAAAAAAAATAAACACACTCTAGAGTAACCCTGAAAAGCGAAGATGCTTCCTACGGGGCTACAAGGCAGCAGAGCTTAAAAGGCACTAACCCCATACGCGGGGCTTCCGTGTCTGCACTTTGTAACACTGATCCGCCAGCAGCGTCCTGGCAGCTTTTCCTCTTTTTCTCTTTCACAATCATACCTCTCCCACTTTACAAAGAAAGCACACTTTTTATCCACTCCAATCCTGCTATGGTGCCAAGCCTCTGAGATATGCCAGAAAACAAGGCAGCAAGTTGAAATATTGGTGATGGCAGAGCTCCTGCATTCAGAGTACCTCAACACAGCGTCTGTCTTTCCCTATCTATGTATTAAGGGCAAAAGTGCAACAGCTGAAATGAGGTAACTGGGACCAGGTTGAGTTGGTCTGAATTCAAATATAGTTGACCCTTGAACAACGTGGGGTTTAGAGGTTTCCACCCCCTGTGCAGTCAAAAGCCACACATAACTTTTGATTGCCCCCAAACTTAACTACCAATAGCGTACTGTTGATCAGAAACCTTACTTGATAACATAGTCGATTCACACATATTTCGTATGTTATATGTATTATATACTAAATTCTTACAATAACGTAAGTTAGAGAAGAGAAAATGTTATTAAGAAAATCATGAGAGAAAATATTGTACTGTATTTATTGAAACTGTAAGCTTTTTTAAAAATCCACGCAGTTCAAACCCGTCTTGTACAGTGCAAGATAGGGCAGGAGCGAAGCTTTCATTCAACCGCATCACTCCCTCTTATCCTCCACCTACTGCCAAAAACAGTGCACCATTCTCAAAGAAGCAGGACAAAGACAGCACTGGTCAGAGAAGCAGCAGAAGAGGTGGCAGCACCTTTTGTCATGCAGGTGACACACTTGCGGAAAGGCCCTGGGCCTTGTCTATGGGAGATGCTGAATTTAGAAGGCAGCTGGCTGTCAAAGGGAGATTTATCTTAATAACTAGAATCAATCAAGTCAGACTTTTTCTAAGAGAAAGCTCATCTCGTTTAGTTGATCCACTTGAAAATCAGGCCTGACTGTCCCAGTTAGGTTATGTGACAGACATTTTCCTCGATATGAGTTGAAATTAATAATATGTTCATTTTCCTAATCTCATCAAAGTATTCTGGGTTAAAAAAAAGTGCCTCTGAGGGAAAGATTAACAGGTATAGATAATCACTTGTTACATTTTGAAGAAAATGCTTCGGTCTACTTCCTAGAAGTAAATGACTCTAAGAAACACTTTTCCACATCAAAAAGATTTCTATTGCTTTACTTTCGCCAGACTTGAAGGACTCATTGAGTTCTTAACTGAGAGGTTATGAAAAACAGCTTTGATGTCTCACCACTAAGTGATCCCGGACCTATGCTCAGAAGGTGCTGAAGGAATTGAGTGGATGACAAAATTCCTTCCTTAGCCATTTACTTCTTTATGTGAACAATGTTCTCAGCACTTGGTGGAAAAAGAATTAATGCTGAATTCGGTGGCATTTTAGCAATGAGTAATATTCAACCATGAATATGTGAACTAATTGGAAAAAACTCTACTCACTATGAAGTTC